TGTCCTTTTACTTTCATTTATTTTTATATTACTCAATTTACTTAAGTTTACAATGTAAATAAAGAAGTACCCCCATTTGGATTCAAATAAAAATACTAGAAAATCAAATTCCCACCAAATCAAAATATGAAAAATCGGTTTTAGTGCAAAATACGATTTAGGCTAAAAATGATGGCTCATTAAGTCAATATATACTTCATACTAAAATCTCATAAAATTAAATTTTTTGGTAAAAAAAGTTTAGGGGAGGAAGAGAGGTATTTCTTTTTTCAATATTGAAGTAAGTCTCAAATTCAAATCAACTCTTTAGTTTATTGAAAAAAAAAAAAAAAACACACGTGGGTGGGTTAGGTCAGTTGGCCAAGTCATTTAGCCCACCTCTTTATACCCAAATTCGAATATCCCTTTTTGTAAATTAGATTAATGTAAAGCAGATTAGACTATCGCTTTATAATTTAAAAAAAAAACATATAAACACACTTGTAGAGTTCCTACGTATAATTTATATCGTAATTAGTTCTATATGCATCACAACTGTCTAAATAAATTGAGGGTTAAATTAACATTAAAAAATTGACGAGAGATTAACGTTACCTAGTGACGTATGTTTTTTCTTTTTGGGAGAACGAGTGAAATACAGTATATAAAATCTAATTATCTAATAACCATTGAAATGATTAAAATTTAAATTATATAATAACCATGCTTAGTGCTTACCCAAAATGACACCAGATGATTAAATGGTACTAATTATCAATTCCCAATGTTCCTAGTCAACCACTGGCGAAAAGTCCTCATTCAATATGCCACATCCCGAACCTAGACTCACAAACGTCCTTGTTCAACTTCTCCCGCGGCACGGGGCCCACTCCGAAGAAAAATTATAAAATCGAGGATAAGAAAACACCGGCGCAGGGAGGGCTTTGAATTTGAGACGTGTCACTACGAAAGAAACGCAAAAACAAACAAAACACGTTTCTTTTAAAGTAAGGGACGGCAGGGGCTACCAACGGAAAAGCAAAACCCAGCAGCCAAACAAGTCGTTTCTTCCTTTATCTTCCATTTTGAAGCGTGGCAGTTCCGTAAATATCGAGCCCCCAGTTGACTCCTCAACAAACATGTTCCCAAAATTCAACAATGCCAATAGTAGGTCCAATAATACAACTACAATTTGTGTGGAACCAATGTGAATTGGGTTTCTAGATTTTTGCCAAAATATAAAAGATTTCATGTTGTCCTGGTGGCTTTAATTTCAGCTTTGTAATTTTTGGGGATCCTCCTAGCTGCTCAGTTTGGTACTTTGGTTACATAATTTTCTCGGCAACCAAACAAGTTTCCTATTTTACTGGGGCTTCCCTTTTTTGGGGGACTTTTTCTTTTTGTTAAACAATGCCTGAACACTGAACAGGTGGTACAGGTATGGAGTTTCACAATCAATTTTTGGGTTCATTGAACCTAGACAAAAACAAAACTGGGTTTTTTATCAATCTAAATCTTCCTCTTGTGCTTCTTCAAAGATTGCCCATTATTTATAAATTGAAATTTTTTTTTCTCAGAAACATGAGGACCGTTGAGTGTGGGAAAGAAAGAGAAGGTGGGGAGCTCATGCTGGGTTCTGCCTTTTTGTGCATTATTATATAGTAATTTTTTTGCTTTTAACCATTTTTTTTAATGCAATATTTTATTCATTTGTTTGGTTCTTTTGCCCTTTTTGTACAGGAGTTTTGAGCTCAAGTGCATTTTTTCAGAAAGGAAGACCTTTTGGATAGGTGTAATTGTACCCCCCACTATCAGTGGCTTTCATGAGAAGCATATGTAGGAGGTAAGAGAGACTCTGATTTAGACTTTATTCTCCATACAAAATACATATATGCAATTTGGAAAAAGACCCAGCATCAAAAAAGAAAAAAAAGAGAGAGAAGGAAAAACAATGTCATGTAGGTCTTTGGTTCATATTTGTCAACATCTGTTTCTGATTTTATTCTTTCTGCAATCTGTTAAACTAAACTTTTGAATGAGCAATGTATGTGGATACCATGAACAAGAAAGATTCTGATTAAAGATTTTTATTGGGGTGATGTTAATATCAAAACCAAATAGTTTAAAGATTATTATGCAGTTCAATAGAATTGGTCAAGTTAGCTTTTAAGGAATTCCAAAGTGGCATAATTGATTCTTGAACTTTTATGCAGATTTAGAGATAAAGTAGGGTTTTAATCCTTTTTGGGAATAGCATATTTCCTCTGTGACACTAGTTTTAAAGTTAAAGCCTTGGATGCTGCTGCTTCTATTGTTTCTTATCAGCATCAATCAACATTGTGATTGTAATTTCAACTTGGTGTGAAGAATCCAATATATATATAAAAAAATGAAAAAAAAAGTATGCATTTAGCTGTCTATAACAAGGTGTATTGCTTATATCAACAACTTGGCCTCTTCTCTCAATGAAGATCGGTAAACCCTTTATTTCTTTCCTCCCTTCTTACATTCTTGTCCATTTTGTCTCTGTTCAGTCAAACCCTTTTGTGGTCCTCACAACATTCTCAACATTAGGTGAAAAGCAAGTTAGGCCATAGGTTTACTGCACCAGAATAACAGGGGTTTACCTCAAAATGGGACCATAAGTAAGAATTTGATTCTATATTTTTTGTTTTTTTCTTTTAAGACACCGAACATCTACTTCTAGACTTGCAGTTTCTGTTGGGATGGACTTAAGGTCGAAAAACAAGGCCTAATAAATAATTAAAGAGAATGGATATATGCTTCTGGTTTTCTAGCTGCTGCCATCTGTGCACTTAAGTCAACACCATATTTCAATATTTGAAAACATATTATACTCCTAAGCACTACAATTATGGAAGAAATGATGATCACTTTGCTCACATCAATCACCAGAAATTGAATAATCAAACCGTCGGCTGGTTGGGATTGAAACTTTGTTGTTAATTATGTATTTGTCATGTAAGAGATCCAGATTCACACCTTAATGCGTTTTTTGTGCTTGTGACTTTCAGCTTGAAAAGTTTGACCAGAAGCCCTTTTTAAGTGCTTATATAAGGAAGAGCTTCTTAGCTTCCTTCAGCATTCACGTAAGCCCTGTGTGTACTTTCAAACAATTGTTTGCGCAAAGCCTTCTCTGGCATCCATTCTTCTCATTGGGTTAGATTCAGTTTCTATAACTATCACTTTTGGCGGACAAGTTTTGTTTCTTAAGTGTTGTCATATTATTAGCCATGGATTCTTTTGAGATATGTGCATTAACTGAATAGGTCTTCACTCAGAAAAATATTTCACCATCTTTAAAACGTTGAAGGTAGAGGGTGTCAAAAAAATACATTCTGCATGCAGCTAGAAACTGCTCCTAGTGGTTTATTTCGGCCCTTCACAATTTTTCTCTATCATTTTGTTTATAAATAGGAGTCTGTGTCCTTATCTGTCTGCTCATGATTTCTTTTGCTGTTTCCTGCATTACAGGTGAACTGATCATTCATGGCTTCAGTTCATTCAAGCAACGAAGAACTCGAAACAAAAGAGATGGACACTAGAAGTCTGTCATCTTCGCGCAATCATTCACAAGGCACACCTTACATTCACAAAGTAGGACTTCCCCCGAAGCAAAAACTCTTCAAGGAATTCACAAACACCATCAAAGAAACATTCTTTTCAGATGATCCTCTAAGGCCCTTCAAGCATCAGCCAAAGTCGCGAAAGTTCATCCTTGGCGTGCAGGCCATCTTCCCCATATTTGAATGGGGGAGAGGATATAATCTGTTGAAATTTAGGGGGGATCTAATTGCTGGACTGACTATTGCTAGTCTCTGCATCCCTCAGGTAACTTAGCAGCTTAATAGATGAACAGATAGAAGGGAGCAATAAAAGAATAGCTAATTTATGTCATTTTCCATTTTCATGGTTGGTTCTAATGATTGTTCTCAACTGGAAAATCAGGACATTGGCTATTCAAAACTTGCAAACTTGGCTCCCCAGTATGGATTGTGTAAGCATCTATGCTACTCAACAACACCTTCCTCTCTTATAACTGATTTCCTTGGATCTTGTTGTGAGACTGAGACTTCTCTTCTGTTGTTCCAAACCTTTACAGACTCGAGCTTTGTTCCACCGTTGATCTATGCTATCATGGGCAGCTCAAGAGATATAGCCATCGGACCTGTGGCTGTGGTGTCTCTCCTGTTGGGTACCTTGCTCCAGAATGAGATTGACCCCAATACAAATCCAGATGATTACCGGAGGCTGGCGTTCACGGCTACCTTTTTTGCTGGGATCACCCAAGCTACCCTTGGGATTTTGAGGTAATTGTCTACTTCAGCTTTCTGATTCTCAAAAGGAAGTTACATCTTAATTGTTTCTTACCTTAATTCTTATTCTATCTCTGAAGGTGTTTTAGCTTTCCGGTTTTAGTGGATAATATTATACTGGTTTTCTTTTTGTTATCAGGATGGGGTTCTTGATTGATTTCCTATCTCATGCTGCCATTGTTGGATTTATGGGCGGAGCTGCCATCACAATTGCACTCCAACAGCTTAAGGGTTTTCTTGGCATAAGGAAGTTCACAAAGAAAACTGATATTGTCTCTGTAATGCAATCAGTATTTCACTCAGCCCATCATGGGGTAAGCTCTATCTACCTCTCTAACTCATTTGTTTATGTATTTTTCCACTAGGATCTGAAACCTGAAACATCAAGTTTTTCTTTTTGACTGACTACAACATCAAGTTACTGAATCCTATATGACAAAATTTTGCAGTGGAACTGGCAGACAATGGTCATTGGAGCATCATTTTTAACGTTTCTTTTGTTTGCCAAATATATTGTAAGAATTCCCAAACTTTGCCGCTATTTACTTAATATGATTCAAGCTTGTTAGTTCTTGTCTGATTTTCACATGTTTTGGGGAGCAGGGAAAGAAGAAGAAGAATCTCTTCTGGGTCCCAGCAATTGCCCCGCTGATATCGGTTATCCTGTCCACCTTTTTTGTGTACATAACTCATGCAGAAAAGAAGGGGGTTGAAATTGTAAGTCCCTATGTTATAATCTTCTCTTCCTCGTTTCTCATACTATTATAGTACTTCTGATTGGCAGTTACAGAAGCAATACTAATGGTTTATCTATGTATGAAGGTGAGACATATCGAAAAAGGAATCAATCCTCCATCTGTGAATGAAATATTTTTTACTGGGGAATATCTCGCAAAGGGTTTTAAGATTGGTGTTGTGGCTGGGATGATAGCATTAACAGTGAGCAATCTCATAACCCATTTCCCTTACCAAGAGAAAAATTGATATCTCTTTTTGAATCTAACCCTTTCTTATTGGCGTGAATTGTCAGGAAGCTATAGCAATTGGAAGAACTTTTGCTTCCATGAAGGACTACCAACTAGACGGAAACAAAGAAATGGTAGCTCTAGGAACCATGAACATTGTTGGCTCAATGACTTCCTGCTACGTGTCGACAGGTGAGAAGAAAGTACCATTTATATTATATAAATTAGATACCAATTGGACAGTGATGAACACCAATACCAATAATTAGGAACGCATATTTGTGCTGTAGTCTCTTGTTCTAGGCTTCTAGCCGGCTAAGATATTTTTTAATGCAAAAGTTTGACCATTAAAAACTTTGAAGATGGATTATAATATATAGTTAATGCATAATACTTTGAAGATGATACTCTAGGGTTAAGCAATAAGCATACCTGAAACCTTGGAACGTAGTACCTAGCGGGACATGTGACTAAGGACATGGAACTGATTAATTGCTCGTACTTGCAGGTTCATTCTCTCGCTCGGCAGTGAACTACATGGCAGGCTGCCAAACTGCAGTCTCTAATATTGTGATGTCCTGTGTTGTTTTCCTGACCTTGCAATTCATTACACCTCTTTTTAAGTACACCCCAAATGCCATTCTCGCAGCCATCATTATATCTGCTGTGATCAACCTAATTGACTTCCAAGCAGCAATCCTAATATGGAAGATTGATAAATTTGATTTTGTGGCTTGCATGGGAGCCTTCTTTGGTGTAATCTTTGCATCTGTTGAGATAGGCCTCTTAATAGCGGTATAAATCCTCATTGTTAACTACTTTGTGTTTCCAATAGTATCATGCAGAGATCAGTGATATAAGTTAACATATGTTTGTGTCCAGGTCTCAATATCATTCGCTAAAATCCTCTTACAAGTTACCAGACCACGGACTGCAATACTTGGGAAGATTCCTAGCACAACTGTGTATAGAAACATCCAACAATATCCAGAAGCAACCAAGGTTCCAGGCGTTATGATTGTGAGAGTTGATTCTGCAATTTACTTTTCCAACTCCAACTACATTAAGGAGAGGTACATATGCTCTCTCTGTATCCTCGGTTCAATTAGTTCTTTGCGGTAATTCTTAAGTTGAAAAAGAAGAAGGTAATTCTATGACCTGTCATCTATTGTAAAGGCAACTTCTGATTGCCTTAAATTGGCAGCTGATCTAAATTCATTATGATTAAAAGAATCATAGATTGAGGGAGTTCCCACAGGGAGATAAGTGTTAAAGGAGAAAAGGAGAGAGTATATTTTCCTTTGGCTGTTAAAGATTGAACTGTTACTAAGCTGTTTCTTCGAATTATTAAAGATTTTGTACTCAAAACTTGCAGTATGGTGTATATAAGTCATGTTAGTTCTGGTAGTCTATATGACCTTTACATAGAAAGAACCTAGAAATAGTCTGAATTTGATTTTTACAATCTTTTTAGTCATACTGCCAGTCCTATGGTGCTGAAGTTCAGCTTCCTAATTGCAGGATATTGAGATGGTTGGCGGATGAAGAAGAACTGCTAAAAGAAGCATACCTACCAAGCATTGAGTTTTTGATAGTTGAAATGTCACGTAAGCAGTTTTCTGATCTTTAAAACCAAACAGCTATTGGGTGATTCATCACTCTTGGTTTCATAAACTCGTTTCTCACGGTGTCTTGTGTTTGCTGCAGCCGTGACTGATATCGACACCAGTGGCATTCATGCCCTAGAAGAGTTGCATAGTAGTCTCCGAAAGAGAGACATTCAGGTAAATCACATGCATGCTTAAATCATCTTATGTCATCTTGTACTTCTGTTGACAAAAATCACACTGCTATTGTATGCGATATGAATTGGTTCAAGTTGCCTTACCTCCAAACTTGCCCTGCAGCTTGTTCTTGCAAATCCTGGTCCAGTGGTGATTGATAAGATTCATGCATCCCATGTCGCAAACTTGATCGGCGAAGACAGGATTTTTCTCACGGTTGCAGAGGCTGTCTCATCCTGTTCTCCAAAATTGGCGGAAGAAGCTTGAGATCAAAATGGAATGTGATTGTTGTTTGAGAGAGAAATGGGATGCACAAGTATGCACTTTTGAATTGGAGGTGCAGTTGAGTAGTGCATGGTGGGGAATCAAATTATGAAAGTGGTTTGGCGTGCCTGGGTCCAATGCAAGTAAAAAGTAAAAGATAACAACATAAAAAGGTGCACAATGGTGCGCACTCCAAGCGGTAAAGGGTGTTTAAAATACAGGAAAATGTGCATAGAATGAGTATCTAACTGTTGACTCTCTCTCTCTCTCTCTCTCTCTCTCCCCTACGTTAAGATTGTAACCTCAACCATCGTGCTATGTGTAGTTTGGATTTCTAGTTCACTGCCTTGTATCCCCGACGTATTGAAGAATTTTGATAAAATGCATTTTGCATTCTTACTTTTGGCAAATATCTAGTGCCAACACTCTTGTTTTTGTTGTTCAATATAGATTTGTATGCTTTTCTTCTACATGGGCAAGAATTCAAGAGCATGGATGTTACAGCCTTTCTGGCTAAATGGTGTTGTTTTTCAGTTTATACTAAAACTGTTGCTTGAAAAAAAAAAAAGGGAAGAATTAAACTTAGCTCAAGTGGTTAAGAGCATTTATCTCTCCACTCGAGGTCCTAGGTTCGATTTCTCCCTCCCCCAATATAGCTTGTTTATATAATTTTTTTTTAAACAAAAAACCCTAGGCTGTTAGTCACTATTACTATGAGGCTAATGCTCCACACTTAACACCATACTTGCAAGGTTTCAAAACTTACAACTATATATACCTACATAATTAGACACTTAGCTCAACCAATGAGGGACTAGTATTGGTCAACACATAAAAACCATCCCCAACATACACATCTTTACATGTGAGCTCTACTAGCAATAATTTGACTAGGCAATTAGCCCAGAAGGTGATAGAAATGAGAAGTAAACCCCAACTCAGTCCAACCCATATAAATACTTGGAGCCAATATGTAAATATTGGTTGCCAAACTGGACTAGAAAATGGGTTTGGCCAAACTACCAATGGGTCATCAAAAAATGCAAATTGTTTCATTATATGGTGGGCTTCTACCTGTGCTTGGGATTTTTCTGTTACTTTATTATGCTTTCACAGGAAATAGGTAAAGAACTAACCTGGAGCAGAAGCTTTTCCAACCAAGCTAGATATATGTAGCAATATTCCTGTGTTTCCAAGTGGCATGAGAATATTACACTATCTGCATAAAACCTAAACTACATCTAATCTCAACAAAAAGAGAAAAAAACAAAACAAAAAACAAAAAACAAAAAAACTTCAATCAACTGTCACCTGAATCCTTTAATTTGGAAATGGGTAGGGGTGGACTCACTCATTATTGAATTGCATGTTGAAGTTTTGAGATAATTAGGTGACCAGAAACTAAAAGAAAAAGATCATGAAACTATGATTTTTGTGCTTGTTTTGCAGGCTTTACTGAATGCATAAGTCACTCTGTGTAATGTCTACAATCTTCATTTTCTAATTTATTGCAGATACATGCTTTGAATCAAACCAAATTGCCTTACCTGCATGCTCTGAAGAACTCTAGCAAGCTATTTTGCTCCACTTTTGCAAAATCTGATTGCAGGGCAAGGAAAAAAAGAAATTTCCTCCCAAACTTGTAGCAGCTGGCTATGGCTCTCTCTCTCTCTCTCTCTCATCCCATTTAACCAAATTGCTGGAACAAGCTTGATGAAATTGAAAAGTGTAGTTGGTGTCATCAGAGAAATTAAATAAGATATGGAAGAAGAGAGTGTCGTCTCTAGTCTATATATGGACATTGGAATGAGGAATAAGAAAGAAGAATCGGTCCAGTTAAGTGATGGGATAAAAGTGCAGCAGCAGGTAAATTAAGTGGAGAGTGGGATCCTCCTCATCCCCAAAAAGTAATGATAATCCTAATAAAATATAAAAAACTAGAAAGAGGAAGATGATTTTGCACTTTGCATAAGGGATAAGATAATCCTTAGAATCTCTATGCTTACATTGCACCTTGGAAATTTCCCAATATCCCTTCTTCAAGCCAAGTTCTTATTTGCGCCATTGACTCCATGGCCAAGCCTTAATTAAATATGATCCAACACCCACCAACATGTAATTGGGTTAATTAGCTAGCTAATCATATCTTAATAAACAATTATATTAAACAAGTGATGCTACATTTTCAGTGTTATAAACCATATTTATAAAGAATGATGACACAAGCAGTTTGGCAGTGAGTGAATGAAAGTGCTTTTTTGTTGTTGAGAGATTTGGACACAAGGGAACAAGAGGATTTGGTTAGGCTGATGGATTTGGATGAATGTAGATGCAAAGGAAGCTATATTCATTTCTGGGTTGATTCAAATTATGAGAAAAGTCTTGGAATATAAAGTGAGGGTTTTGTTGCAGCACAAGATACTATTCTTTTATGTCTTTCTTTAAAAGATATGATTCTCTCAGGTAGAAAAGAACCTTGCTGTTATTTGAGAAGTAAACCCAAAAAATGAATGTGTTCTAGATTTTGTGGGAAGGAGAAATCCTAGCTTTGAACATTAGTAAGTTATATGGAATTATGCAATGCTCAACTATACTGCTGCTTAACAGCTGTTAGACTACTTTGTGAAGAAATTAAGCTCCCATTTCCACCCCACCTAAAATCCTCCACTATATTCACTTGGACAAAAAGCTATAGAAACTCAACTTTTCCACATTAGGTGGGTTTTGCATCAATCCAACAATGTCAAAGGTATTGCTGATTTCTCTAGCATTTGTTCTTCACTTACGAGTCAATATCCTAAACTTTGGTATTTCTTTTGACCAAAGAAAAGGAAAAAAGTTTAGAACCATGTATTTTTATATGGTGCCCTTCCCATAAATAAGGGATAATCATCAATTTTTATGTATAACCTTGATCATGAGTAAAACTTAATGGTATCTATGTCATCACGTGTTAGATCATATGATGAGAGACATATAATGAGAGAAATAGTCACTTAAGAGAAAATCTTTAATGTAACCGGACTCTTGCTAATCAAAATTCCATTTCATGGTAAAAAAGAACCCAATAAACCCAACTGTTATTGCACCGGACATTAACCATCGATAGCTGAAACATAACTATTGCATACTACCAAGATATGCAAGTTTTTCTCTTCTCCTAGATTACGAACTCCCCAAGTTAACTTGGATAAGGAATGGGAGATGATGATTGATGATGACTTCCCATTTTCCATATTGTCCTTTCCAAAAGGAGGAAGAAGTGTGCAAATTGGTATGATTAGTGACTTGGACTCCACAACTCATGGGCCCATTTTGGAGAAATACTTTCATGGAACGAGGATAACACTGTTTTGCTATCCCGCCAATCACGGTGGATGATAACTTTTCCACTTGGTATATCGTGATTGACTGGGATAGTAAAATAGTGTTATCCCCGTTTCACAAAAAAATTTCTACTCATTCTGGACTTTTAGTGGGCCCACTTAATCCAATTTGGGCTCATCTAGAATCGAACCAAGGCCCATGCATGTGGGTTAGTGGATTTGATCAACCCACCCAATCCAATTCCACTACTAGAAAACTAGCAGAGTTCTGAAGACTCGGAATCGCCGGGACATAAATGGCTCTGCTCTCCACTTTCACCTTCCGCCATTTTCTGCACAGAAGCCCCAAACTGAAACCACCACTATTCGCCATAGCTTCCACTTCACTCTCTCTTCTCTCAATCTCCCATCTCACCCCCAAGCGTCTCAAACTCCACCCTCGCTCCCCACTCTATTTACCCTTATGCCACTGCTCTTCTTTCACTAGCTCTTACCCAGAAAAGACCCAGCCTCAAACGCTGCTTCTCAGCAAAGACGAGCGATCAGCGAGTGGGTCCCGGCAACTGGAGACCACAACCACAATCGCGGCAATCGTGACGTCACTGGGGGGACCACCTGGCGCGGTTGGGATTGTGCGGCTGTCGGGTCCGTCTGCGGTGGCCATTGTTGGCCGCGTGTTCCGTCAGACGAAGAAGAAGAGGAAGAAGACGGTGGGCACGTGGCGGCCCACCAGCCATGTGGTTGAGTACGGCGTCGTTTGCGACCCCAACGGCAATGTCATCGACGAGGTACTGTACTTTTCAATTTCACTTTCACTGAATGGAGTTGAAATTTGAATTCTGTGAATGATACAGGACATGGGTTTTGGTTGCTTTCAGGTTTTGGCTGTGCCCATGTTGGCCCCAAGGTCTTATACGCGTGAAGACGTGGTTGAGCTTCAATGCCATGGAACCCAAGTGTGCCTCACTCGCGTCCTGAGAGCTTGTGTAGAAGCTGGAGCAAGGCTTGCCGAACCAGGTCGTTATTTTTAGCTCAGAATGTTTTAACTTTAGGAATTTCAGCTTTAAATTTTTGAGCTTTTGGAATTTTAGCTTGAAAATTTTGAACTTTTGGAATACAAGTAAACGAAAGACTAAAGATGTGTGCTTTGGTTTTTCCTTTCAGGTGAGTTTACTCTGCGTGCATTTCTCAATGGCCGCTTGGACCTAACTCAAGCTGAAAATGTTGACAGGCTCATTTCGGCTAAGTCCGTAGCTGCAGCAGATGCAGCACTGGCTGCAATTCAGGCATGTGTATTTGTTTGTCTGTATAATTTATACGTTCCTGCTTTCAGAAACTGGTTGCTACTAATATTTATGTTAGCCTTAGTTGGGGTAAATGATAATTAACCCGGAATTTTTTTTTAAAAAAACATTTGAACTTTGACAGGGTGGCTTCTCTTCCATGGTAAAATCTATAAGAGCTCAGTGCATTGAGTTGCTTACAGAAATTGAAGCCCGTTTGGATTTTGATGATGAGATGCCACCACTTGATACGAACCAAGTTGTGATGAAAATAAATTCCATGTCAGAAGATGTTGAGAGTGCACTCGAGACAGCCAATTATGACCAACTCCTGCAATCTGGAATACAGGTGCAGTTTTCAAAATGAATTTCTCATTCTCACATTTTCTTCCTCATTTGGCTTTACTTTATGACATTCTAAATACAATTTGCAGATAGCAATTCTGGGCCGTCCAAACGTTGGGAAGTCAAGTCTCCTCAATGCATGGAGCAAAGTATGTGGTGGCAATTTTAGTTTTTCGATTTTTTTTGGGGGGAGGGGGTGATTGCCATTAATTCCTACATGAGTCCTTATTTGCTTAATGAATTGCTGGAGTTATGCAGCATCCATCTCAAGTATTGGATGTATTTAGGATCCCATTAAAATATTTTGTTATGTTTAGTAATTACTTGATGTATGAGATGTTACTGAGTGCCACTTTTTTATTTTAGCGTGCAGACTGAGAGAGCAATAGTTACAGAAATTGCTGGCACCACTCGGGATGTGGTTGAAGCCAGTATTACAGTTCATGGCATTCCTGTAACCCTTCTTGATAC